TGAGGATGGGAGCACAAGTAGGCTTTCGGAAGGAGGCCTGGGAAGTACATGAACATCATGGCCATGTCCAAAGGCAAAATGGGAACAGGGAAGACACAAGAAACCTGATCAAGTAAGAAGGGAGCATGCAACCATATTCAAAGGGTATAAATCAATATACAACGAAGATACCTGCATACCTATGTTTATTACAGCAATCTTAACGGGAATGAGCAAGGTACCCAACGGCAGGTAAGTGGATAAAGATGTGGCCTATGTTACACAGCCACAAAGAAAAATGAAATCACGCCATCTGCAGGAAACTGGATGAAATTGAAGGCATAATATTGAATAAGACAGCTAAACTCCAAGTCAGATACTGTTATATTTTCACCCGTAAGTAGAAACTAGACCTAAAACAGGTAGATATTCATAGACATAGACATTCTTTTATTTATAGATGAATACATAGATATATATAGAAATAGATAGGCACAGAATATAAATCTAACTATGGGGCTACTTAGGAGGAAAAGAGGAAAGGGAAAAAGATAGAAGGTGAATAGTTTTGAAATACACCACAACGTTATGTGAAAACCGCATGAAGAGTCTTAATGAAGTGGGTGTCTATCTATAATCCTGGTACACAGGAAGCTGATATTTGAGGAGTATGGTTTGAGGCAGGAAAGTCAAACTCTCACCTTCAGTTAACCACCAAAAAGCCAAAAATGGAGCTGGGGCTCAAGTGGTCAAGTGCCAGCCATAAGAAAAATAAAAGCCAGGGAGGAACCCAAAAATGTCATTAAAAATATTAGCCAGGCACCGGTGGCTCACGCCAGTAATCCTAGCTACTCAGGAGGCTGAGACCTGAGGACTGAGGTTCAAAGAGTCTGTGAGACTCCAATAAACCACTAGAAAACCGGAAGTGGCGCTGTGGCTCAAGTGGTAGAGGGCTCACCTTGAGCTGAAGAGCTGAGGGATAGTGCCCAAGCCCAGAGTTCAAGCCCCACGATGGACAACAAACAAACAAACAAAAAACACCAAAAAGATTAGTTATCCAAACAAATTCCAGTAAATGGAAACACGGGATTATGTGTGTGTGTGTGTGTGTGTGTGTGTGTGTGTGTGTGTGTTGTTGTTGTTGTTGTTTTGCTTTGGGGTTTTTGGTGTGTCTTTTTTTTTGGGGGGGGAGGAGGGGCACAAAAATGGAGGGAGGAAGAGGGAACAAATGCAGTTATAGTATTCAGTATACACTATGTAGAAAAGCAATTGTGCAACTGGTGGGCAGGGATGGGAAGGGGAAACTGGGGAAAAGTGAAGGAATGGGTGATACTGTACTCATTACCTGATTTATGAAATGGTAAGCCCTCTGTACAATACCTTAATAACAAAAAAATTATATTTATTGGCTGGGAATGTGGCTTAGTGGTAGAGTGCTTGCCTAGCATGCATGAAGCCCTGGGTTCAATTACTCAGTACCACACATACAGAGAAAGCCAGAAGTGGTGCTGTGGCTTAAGTGGTAAAGTTATAGTCTTGAGCAAAATAAGCTCAGAGACGGTGCCCAGGCCCTGAGGTCAAGCCCCAGAACTGGCAAAAATAAATAAATAAAATTATATTTATACTTAAAATTATGTCTAAAAAAAAGGAATCTCAATGAAAGTTGTTGATCAGAGAGAGAAGTGGGGCAGCGAAAGAAAAAAGACTTGTGGAAGAAGTGAGTACTAACAGGAAGGGGTTAGGTTAATAAGAAAGGTGTATGAGAATTAATATGGTCAAGGAGCTGGGAAGGTGGCTCAGTGGTACAGTGCTTGCCTCACATGCATGAAGCCTTGGGTTCAATTCCTCAGCACCACATAAACAGAAAAAGCTGGAAGTGGTGCTGTGGCTCAAGTGGTAGCCTTGAGCTGAAGAACTGAGGGACAGTGCCCAGGCCCAGAGTTCAGGCCCCATGACCGACCAAAGGAAAAAAAAAAAAGAATATGGTCAAAATAGATTGTCAGTATGTATAAAAGTGGAACAATGAAACCTGCTGAAATTGTTTAGAAAAGGATAGGAACAGAGAGGCTGGGACTGACAGTCAGGAACTGGGAAAGGCCTGTTCCAGATTTGTGCTCCTGCTCTTCATTTACTTTCCAATTAGTTTGGAGAATGAGCAAACCTCTTATACCCACAATCCTGTCAGTCCCAGTGGTGGTGACACCCTTCAAAGGGGAGCTGCTGGCCTGGCTTTACACATGCAAACTGTATGACCAACAGTTTACAGTGTCTCGGCACGCCTCTTCTCCACGCACTGATTTTTTTTGTTGTTGTTGTTGGTTGTGAGGCTTGAACTCTGGGCTTGGGCGCTGTCCCTGTGCTCTTCAGCTCAAGGTTCTCCACTCACTCTGGTCACCTCCATCAAGGGCTGCACAATCTCATCATCTCTGCCTATTGATATCCCCATTTGAACACAAGTAAGTTGGCTTAATATTCAAATACTTCATAAGCCTACAAATATACTCACCTTGTTGATCCAGAACACCATGGCATCCTCAAGGTCGTATGGAAGTTCCTTCGAGGCGCTGAATGTAGAGAAGCGTTTAACACTGGCCACCACCTTCTCAATGCTGATCATCTCCACTGTGTAGGCCATCATCAGGGCATCCACCATCGCCATGTGGGCACTCTGAGAGCAGAGGCAGCAAGCAGCTAGCACCCTGAAAACTCTGTACCCCCCGGTCCTAATACAGGCAACCTGTCTATCTTTCTCTCTTTCCTTCCTCCTTCCCTTCCTCAACCCTTCTTCTCCCCCTCTCTCTCCCTGTACACAGAGACATTAACACTTAAGATGGCCCTGAGCCTGGAGTTCGGCTACTGAGCCCCAGGACTGTTAGGTGTGGCTGCCCAGGTTCCTCACGCCCTTGCGCCCAGCAGGCCCGTGAGCCTCCTCCATAGATGAGGCACTGATGCTCACAGATGTAGAAAGAGGTTGCCAGACATCGCCAACCTGGGCCTTACCCAGTGCCTTGGGTATCTCTCCTCAGAGCACAAGGAACTTTATTTTATACACAACCTGTAATCCACACTTCTGTGCAAAATACTAGTGAATAGCCTAATGAAGGAAATGCTGGGTACCAATAGGTTCAGCACCAGGCTGGTCTAGAGAGGTGTCCAATGAACAGCACAGCCTTGGAGAGGGATAGGGTGAAGACCTGCCTGGAGAGAACGGTATGCCAACTGACTCTGGCACAAAAACACCCACAAGTCATAAGCACAGCCGCCCAGTAGGATGGGCTCAATGGCTGGCGTTAGAGCAGCTGCCAGGGCCAGCCTTGCCGCTTCATGTATGAGCCTCTCTGTGATCTCAGCTGTTCATGAAAGAAGAGACAAGAACAAGCTGCTCTTTCCTCGCTTTCTAGAACAATTACACATTTAAAGAGAGGTGAATCAGGATCAGCAGTACGCATGTCCAGACAACTCTGTCTCACACACCCTTTCCCTTCATCTGAGAGTAGGGACGGCACGGAACCTGCACAGCCAAGCTACGGGGACAGCTGGCCCGGTTTGACACTCACCATCTTTATTGGAGCGTGGCCCAGGTCCTCGTCTGTCACAGGGGTGTCGTCGCTCTCTATCACATACAGGCCCTTTCGGGACAGGGCCTGGATGACGGACTGGTGTCCTTGTAAGGTGGCTGCCTGGTCCCCTTTCAGGATGAGACTGCATACCCGGCAGTACAGCTCACTGGACAGGAGAAGCTTGATAACAGGCGGCTTAATGTGCTCCTGCTCATACTGGTCGATGTAAAAAGGGTCTCTGAGATCCTCAGGGATGTTGTCTGAGACAAGGAAGAAAGCAGAGTGAGACCTACGTTCCAGACTCTCCATGCCCCAAAACCGGACAAGGACACACCATCCTGGCAGAGATGCAGCAGGCACACGAGGGTCCTGGGGCACAGCCTTATATCCGTTGTGTGCATGGACAAAGGCACATGGCGGCTCCATAGCCTTCAACGTGGACTTTCAGAACTCACAATGGCCAGACACGTGAAAATCCTGAGACATGGCCCCAGGGGAAACCAGGGCACAGGTGGGCAGCACCTGGGGACTCCAGGGGAGAAGGCATGCTGGTTTAGCTACCTCCACTCAGGGGAGAGGCTCAGTGTGCCCTCCCTCTGACACAGATCAGAGGTGAGAAGAGAGGCTAACAGCAACATCTTTACTGAGGAGAGAGCCGGGTCCAGCGCTGCTAGAACCACACAGAACAGCAGCAACCAGCCTTCACTCGTGTTTGGACCATGCGGCATTTAATTCTTTACGTGAACTTTATCAGCACTACAAATCAAATCAAATCAAATCAAGACCACCGTCCCATCCCCACATCAGAGACAAGAGAAAACGGAGGGAAAAGGAACGCCCAAGGTCACAGGCAGAAACAACCAGCTCTGAATCCACACCAGCTGGGCCTGAGTGCAGCACTGCCAGCCTCACACCACCACCCCGGAGCCAAGCACACACGTGCACCAGGCAAACGCGCCACCATTCCTTCCAGCCCTTCTCTGCACTGCCCAACCAAGGAAGAAATCAACAGCTGTCCCATGTGCGTGAGGGAATTATAGTCAAATCTGGGAAATAAAACTCCCAGGAAAAGTTCATTCCTCTCTGTAGAACCACCAGCCCAGAACTGCCCCTACCCTGAGAAGCATTTAGGAAGGGTCACTATCATCAAGAAGAGCTTCTGAGCCAGTGGTTGCTGTATCAGACCTCTAATCCTAGCTATTCAAGGGTCTGACACTTGGACAATTGAGGCTCAAAGCCAGCTGAAGCAGAAAGTCTATGGGTCTCCATCTCTAATTAAAGCAGTAAGCTAGGTGAAGGTATATATCAATAGCAAAAGGCTATCCAAAGGTATATATCAGATGGTAAAGTGTCATCCATGAGCAAGAAAGCAGAGTGAATGTGAAGCCTGAGTTGAAGCCCTGGAACTTACAAAAAAACAAAAACCAAAAAAAAAGTGCTGAAGAAGATCCACCAAGTCAGGTACAGTAGCTCACACTTACAACCTAGCCAACGGGAGACAGGGAAGATGGCAGTTCAAAGGCAATCCAGGCAAAAAGGTCACAAGACCTCATATCTCAACCAATAAAACCTTGGTGCTATGATATGTCTGTCAACCCAGCTTTTCGAAAAGCCTAAGTAGGAAAATCATGGTCCAGGCCAGACTGAGCAAAAAGCGAAGCCCTACTTGAAAAAGAACGAAAGCAAAAAGGGCTGGGAGTGCGAGTCAAGTGGAAGAATACCTACCAAGCCCAAGCAAGTGCAAAGCCCCAAGGGTGAACCCTAGTACACCAAAAAAGAATGAACAGAACAGAATCCTACCAACACCCAGCATTTGAAACAGACGGAAACACAGGAAAGGGACCCTGCCAGCAGTGGACAGCCAGATCTCCCTGTGCCAGGGTGGGTGTTCTGATGCCAATCCCAAGGGTGAACACTAACTTCAGAAACCCCAGGAGCACCTCCTCAACTCCCTTGGTTCTTTTTCTTTCTTTCTTTCTTTTTTTGGTCAGTTGTGGGGCTTGGACTCTGGGCTTGGGCACTGTCACTCAGCTCTTCAGCTAAAGGCAAGTGTTCTACCACTTGAGCCACAGCCACTTCCAGTTTTCTGATGGTTTAATGGAGATAAGAGTGTCACCGACTTTCCTGCCCGAGCTGGCTTTGAACTGTGATTCTCAGCTCTCAGACTCCTGAGTAGCTAGGATGACAGGTGTGAGCCACCAGCACCCAGCTCCTTGTTTGTTTCTTACAGCTAGGATTCCTGAGAACTGGTCTAACAGCAGGGCTGTGAACCGAGTCACGGCCCTGCAATTGTAACGTTTCCTTCCCAGCCCCATCCTTCTCCACAGCATGTGCAGCACTGACACAGCCCTGCATAGTGTTGAGACGCTGCAGCGCACACACAACTTGGTCACAGTTGCCACAACAAAGCTGCATCACATCAGCTCCTGCTCGGGCAGGTTGGGGCCCCGCCCAGGCTCAGACCTCAAGGCTCAAATCCCATACTAGCCGAGAACCCAAGGAACCTTGGCGCAGCGGCCAGGGCTGGCAAGAGGGCACTCTCAGAAGTGCAAGACCTGGTTCTGAACAGGTACATGCTGGGGAAGGGCTGAACAGAGTCTCATAATCCAGTGATGCTTTAGATACTCGCATCACTGTCGGAAAAAGGACGTAATGGCCTCTAGCCCTTTCTTTACTCAAGTGACCACCAGAAGCAGCCAATGGCCAGGGCTTCAGTAAGAGCCACCTTCCACCTCATTTCCAAGACACTTCAAGCACCCTCCACCCTTTTCCACTTCAGTCTCTGTCCACTTCTAGCTGGCTTGTCCAATAGACTACAAATGGCACATTCTACCATGCCCTCAGGCGACCTCATTCAGCCTTGGTTGACCGATCCTTGACACATGGCTATCCCCAAATGTATACTCCAGTCCCAGCCACTTCCTTAAGCTATCTATGTAACAGCTCCGCGGTGGCATACCTCCTCACAGGCCGGCTCAAACCTCTCTCCCTGTCACCTGGATATCTGTGGGAAGGCAGGAACTGCCAAAACCCATAGGAGATCCCACAGGGCCCAGGCTCTGTGTGGGGGTGATGGGTAATAGGTGCAAGCCAGTGCTAGCCTTTGATAGAAGCAGGGAGGATCCAGGAAGGATGCTGAAGCCCACAGTATCTTTGTGCCATGGTACAAACACACCTCTGAACTGAATGTAGAAGCTGGCAAGACTGAAGGAAACAGCCAGAAAGGCCATGTCTCTCTGGAGGATACACACTGGGTGACAGTGTTTTCCAGGGCACCTTTCAAGCATCAGGCACAAAGTGGTTCACACCGTCAGCTCTTGGAATCACGTATGAACAGGAGTCAGAGAAGCAACTGTGCACGCACCAGGTTCACAGTGGAGGAGCAGAGAGACTGCATTGCTAGAACAGCTGCCCGTGGCAGGCTCCTTCACTCCAGCCCAGCCTGCTGTGTCCAGCCCAGCCCTGCTCCTCTGGCCCACCTGAGCAGCAACTGTCTACAGCCAGAGCTCAGTGAACATCAGGGGCTCTGTGTACCCTCACCCAGGCTTCTATTCCATCGTTAAAACGTAACTTTATAAATACTCCAGATCTATTTCTGGTGACATCTTTCATGTCTTCTATAAGCCATGAAGACAGGTAGTTAGAACCATGTGTATTCACTCGGCAATAATGAGCCACCAGGGAGGTGAGCATCACTGCTCAGACTGAGGCTCTCAAGAGAACAGAAAAGCCAGCAGGCAAATTCCACATGGCATGGAATGTGTGGGAGGTATACAAGGAACTCTGGGTGCAGGAAACAGCCCAGAATTTGGAGTGAGGTGCAGTATGGGGCCTGGAGTTCCAGACAAGATAGAAACATACAAATGACCCTTGAACAATTTTAGTAAGCCACATAGTTTGCAAGTATATAGGAGAGACAAATTGGACCTTTAACGTATCCAACCAGGCCTTAATTGAGCACCTATTAATGCCTGCCCTTGTTCTGAGAACTGAGGCTGTGAAGCAGGGCCACAAGGGTAGGAGAGCCCCACGCAGGACATGTGTGGAAGTCCTGTGGGGTGCCATGGAGGCTTTCCAACAGAGGTACAGTACGTAGAGATCATAAGCACAAGAAAATGAAATATGAAAATCAACACCCATGTGACCCAAGTCAAACAGCAAGAGGGCACAGTGAAAACCAAGGGCAGGCAGGGCAGACTGGCAACACCAAGTGCCAGGCATGGGAGAGAAGCCAACTGGAGAGGCAGCGGAGGAGAGCTGGGCAAGAACAAGCCCACACCTGTCCTCTGCCGCCCACCAGAGGGCGCTATCACCAACACTAGGCCACGGCAGCAACTCAGTCTGGCACCCTGCTCTGCTCTCCTGGGGGTCTGTTTCCAGACTGGAGGGATAAGGAGAGCTCAGGAGCTCCGGGGGACATCCTGAGACCCCAGTGGTCCACACCCACCAGCATGACAACACTGGGAGGGCCACACCTTGGCATTTCACCACGACCTAGTTTCATGCTGGCACTCAACGCCCAGAAGGATGAGGGCTGTGCAGACTCAGCCCACTGGGAGCAGGCCAAGACTCGCCATCTCCACTCAACCAACCGGGGGGAGGGGAGGAGGACCAGTTGCTAAACAAACAGCACTGGCATCTCCTGGATTTCTAACAGGCCCCCACGTAGCAAACTGTAATAGTCCAAATGTCCAATATACTACTCCGAATTACACAACAAAAGGAGAGGCTGGGGAACCTGTAACCCCCTCCCCAAATGACAAGACATACAAGCACAATGTTCGAATAGTCCACAAACAGCCTGCAGAAGTTCTTACAACTATGCTCCCAGAAATAAGAACAAACACTTGAAATGAATGAAAAACTACCAGAAAACGCTTGGAAAACAAACAAACAAACACAACCCAGAAGATAGCAGGTGTGAGGAACAACTATACCTCCTACCCTCCCTAGCTGGCACCTTCAAAGACCAGCCTCACCTTCAAAGACCTGGGCCAGGGGTCGCAGACCCTGGGACTGCCTCAATGCAGGGGACCCACCCTGGGGATGCCATGATCTGCCACCTTCGACAGCCCCCCAGCTCTCTTGCAAGTTCAAACTGGAAGGACAGAGAGATGTTAACAAGGAACAGAGGGACAAATGGAAGTAGTGGTTTGCAAGGTCATGCCTGAGTCTCTCCACCCTGGTCAAGGAAAGGGCTTCCTCATGCACAAATCACACTACCATCAGGAAAACGTGAGTTCACCAGTTACCAATGCTAGCACACAGAGCAGCAGCAAGATACCTGAGGAGCCAGCCCACGACTAAGCCAGACTGAATAACCAGTACCAGCACAACAGAGGAAGAACCAGCAGCGAGTAGACAAAGACAAAGAAAGGCTTCCAGGAACTAGGAGAAGCAGACAGGTCTACCCTCCCCTCCAGAAA